ATTGTGCTCACTCTGTGGGAGCTGATTTCGACTTATGTTAGAAACATATCGATCACGTAGTACATTCCGAGTTTGGCTAAGATCAGCTGATTCGTAAAGGCCAAACCATATATGGGTTGGCAAAGGTCCGAAAAGTTGTCAAAATCAAAAGTGGGAGTTTTCGAAAAAGCAAAGCCTCTGTAAGTGAGTGCCAATACGTCTGTTCATCCCACTTCATAACAAATCCTCTACCTTTAAGCGGGTGACTGGAGGATGAAATATTGCTCGCCATTGACCTTCTTACTCAGGTACTGCCTCTGTCAACTGGCTCAAATCCTGTTTCACTCAGGAATGAGCCGAGTGGGTTGGTCTAGTCAACTGGGAGGTGAAGTTTTGAAGTTCAGGAACGGTTATCGTCAGGTCATCATCACCACCCATGAAAAATCAGTTTTGACATCTCTGAGAAAGATTAACCTTGACATGTTTTGTTTGGGGTGGCAATCATAAATCTGGTTTTACCTAGGTAAAAGTAAACTCTGGTTAAGAGGGTGATGTCTACTGAACTGAGCCTAGCGTTCCTTTACGCTGAGCCGTTTGCCTGAGAAAGCAGAGCAATGGATTCCTGTTCTAGTACCCATAACGGGTGCTAGCGGAGTTTTCGACTGCTACGGTAGGAGATGGGTGGAGCTGGTGTAGTGGCAAGTGGAACAATATCACACACGAATGCTCACGGGTTCGAGTCCCGGATTGATTTTCACCTAGGCCAACCGAGCCATCAATCCCTTCGGCCGGGTAATTGCTATGGAATTCGTCGAGAAGATGAAAGCACTGACTTGTACATCGGCTGGTCACCGCAATTCATTGTATAGGCCACATACGCCGCTGCAACTATGAGTGGAGTCGAATACGTGGAAGTCTAATGCGGGGGCACATCCACCAGACGAGATTGATCAACACCAAAAGACTATCCTTCTATCCTTTGAGAGGCGGTTCCAACTGGTATGTAACTAGAAACAATAAGGAGAGTCAGAATCAGTAAATTCTCGTACATTTACTAGGGCCAAGCATTCCGTTTTAAGACATTCTCCCCAAAATCCCTTAGAGGCATATCATCGATATGTTCATGATGCCATCATCCTTGTTCCGGTGATCGTCAAATGGCGAAGATCCATGCCCTTTCTCACTGTTCCACCACCTACAGAACAGCTGTCGGCATGCTCGTGCCGCTCCCGGCATACTAATGCATGTGACGATATTCTAGTGCAGATGCCGGCATATTAGTACAGGTGCCGGCATACTGGTGCAGGAACAGAAGGAGATTGTTGGAAGAAGCGACAAGGAAACCTAACAAACAGAAAAAGATGGAACTCGCTTGTTCTCCCGAACATCTTCTGAATGTTCCCGTCCTCTTAACAACTTCACCTTCTCGTGCCTGCCCTTATCCTTTCATACGTCCCTCCGTTCAGGCTTCCCTCTTCTATGTATTCCTCACCTATTCCAAACATAATCAGGGGAATCCGTCTTCGTCAACTATCGACTGCCATTCCTATGATGTAACCAGTGACCCTCATTTCGTTCTTGGCAGCAGTGTGGTAGCCCAGAGTTTATCCCGACGAAATGGGCTTACAGTAACCAGCAAATGAGTTCCGTTATGACTTTGACCACATCCACCTTGGGGTCGATAACGACAGACCGCCCGAGGACGTGGACTTTGCACCCATCACCCATTGTTGCATTGATTTTTTGTACGTTTGAATCCACCCACACTTTTCTTTTGATTCTTCCTCCTCGGATTTGTCAAACATTGAGACCATGATCATCCCTCTTTGTTCAGCTTCTGACAGTTCCTGGCTGAAGAGGATTTTGTAAGAGCTCTTGAGCCTTGCGGCTGAAATCATTCAAAAATGGTGG